AACTGTAGCCAAAACTTTTCAATGTAAAAGCGCTCGGACTTTCATTTTCACATTCATCATGACAAGACTTTCATCCCCTGAGTACACATAATTTTAATCTTTTGATTCAGACCTTGGAGTTCGACCTTTTTTTCGAAAAACTTTCTTATTTTATATGTGTTATTATTCGAAAAATGTTTCTTTAGATGCTGCTATTCTTTTTTTTTCCCTTGCGGTTAATATCTTAATTACATTACAAGGCAGCAAGTTTTACCCCGGTATATTACTTTGTACATCCAAATCTCATAAACTGTTTAGTGTTCCAGTCAGGAGTTTTGTTGTGCATATATTATCACCCATTTCTCTTTGAAATTATATCGTTATCAATTTTGAAGAATTGTCATTTAGAATAATCTTAGAATAATAAACGTTTTAAACATATACTGCAGTATTTGAATTGTAAATGTTATAGTCAATTTTCAACTTTAATATCTAATAGCATTCTTATTTTCCGGTTCCTATGCCTATCTTTTAGGTATAGAATAGTATTATTTTTTTGTTCCTTTGCCTATCTGTTAGGTATAGGATAGTATTATTTTTTCTGTTCCTTTGTTTATCTTTTAGGTATAGGATAGTATCACATCTTTTAGGTATAGGATAGTATTATTTTTCTGTTCCTTTGTTTATCTTTTAGGTATAGGATAGTATCATATCTTTTAGGCATAGGATAGTATTATTTTTCTGTTCCTTTGTTTATCTTTTAGGTATAGGATAGTATCATATCTTTTAGGTATAGGATAGTGTTATTTTCTGTTCCTTTGCCTATCTGTTAGGTATAGGATAGTATTATTTTTCTGTTCCTTTGTATATCTTTTAGGTATAGGATAGTATCACATCTTTTAGGTATAGGATAGTATTATTTTTCTGTTCCTTTGTTTATCTTTTAGGTATAGGATAGTATCATATCTTTTAGGCATAGGAAAGTATTATTTTTCTGTTCCTTTGTTAATCTTTTAGGTATAGGATAGTATCATATCTTTTAGGTATAGGATAGTGTTATTTTCTGTTCCTTTGCCTATCTGTTAGGTATAGGATAGTATTATTTTTCTGTTCCTTTGTATATCTTTTAGGTATAGGATAGTATCATATCTTTTAGGTATAGGATAGTATTTTTCTGTTCCTTTGTTTATCTTTTAGATATAGGATAGTATCATATCTTTTAGGTATAGGATAGTGTTATTTTCTGTTCCTTTGTCTGTCTTTTAGGTATAGGATAGTATTATTTTCTGTTCCTTTGTCTATCTTTTAGGTATAGGATATTATTATTTTTCTGTTTCTTTACATTTTAGGTATAGGATAGTGTTATCCAAGATGAAGAGAATTGACATCAAAACACGACACGTCACCGACATCAGATGTCTCCAGGGCGGAAGTGACGTGGATAAATGACGGCAGTTTTACAATTTTAGTGAAATCAAACAATATTCAGATATTCCTGATTCCATTAGCTACCTGAAAAAAAAATATTTCTGAAGTTCTATTGATATTTTAAAGCATTGCGTGTTTATTTTATCATTTAGTGTTCTGCAAAATATGGGTATCCTTCCTTTACAAATTTATGCTGCAAATTGCCTTAAAGTTATTTTTTAATTTTGTTCATTTCCATTAGATTATTCTAGTGGATTGTAACCTGCACCTGCTTCCGAAAATAGGATGGACACAGACTTTAAAATTATTCAGTCTAAGAAACTTTATGATTAAAAATTATTTTGAACACGGCAGTTCTTGTATATTATTAGGATATCATTTCTATCATGATAATCATCGTATGTATATATCTAGAAGGTAACACCCTCTTTTTCAGAGTGCCTTAAAATTCATATGATTTAAACCTTATCATCAATATATTGGTCTTTGTTTTAAATGCATTTACGATAAACTCTAAAAAAATTAAACGTCATAGTACAAATAGCAGCTTTCATTTTAACGGTTACATTGTTGAATGTATGTTCAACAAATTATTTACCAGTCATAACCAAAATATTTTTATCAATAAATCTTTCTCTTCATCAAATGGTGCTCACAATAAAATTTACAACAGAACTGTTTGAAAAATGTCTATAAATATAGTTTAAATCAAGCGATGTTATTTCTGTTACTGTCAATTTCCTTCCTGTAGTTCCATATATGTATAATTAATATGATATATTAAACCTTCCTGTTTTGTTTTAACTTAATTGTGTATAGGGTACTTTGAATTAACAGCAGAAATGATGCAGGTTTGTGATTTCATTTTATGAGGAGTATTTATTCCAGTAATCAGCTTCTGATAATAATTTTCAATCATGTTAGAATGTACCAATACTTATTTTTAGGACACGGAAACTGGTATATATGAAAACATGTGGCTTTCACAGGCCAAGTTAGAAGCTGGAAAACGTAAGTCATTTATGTATTTGTTTTTTTTTATTTAGCTTTCTTACGATATACCACAGCTTTGTAAGTCAGCTAGGATTGAATTGTTATTGTTATTCTCGGATGATCTTCATGGATGTAAATATCAGACCTTTTGTTATTGTAGAGAGATCTGGTAGACATCAGAGGGGCAGAGGAAGTGGAAGTTGTGTTCTCTTCATTCTTGACTGTTCAGAAAGCATGAGGGGGGAACCTTTCAGAGAAATGAAAAGGGGAGTCTTGGCGATACTAGACGGTGGGTCAATTAATATCGTGTGTGGGTACAATGTGTTCAAGTACAATGTGATGTATGATAATGCTGGTATTTTAATTCCATTTATAGGGTTCTATCAACACCCAGGGATGGGTGAAAATGTCTCTGTTATAGTGATGGGGCACGAAACAAAATTCCTGCAGTATTACTCAAACCAATATTTGACAATCAAACAACACATAGGTATTTTTTTCTCCAACAATAATTGTACGCCAGTCCCTAATATTTCTTTTCGTTGTGGTGTAGTAGTCGAGATTGGCTATAGTCAGACAGGGGAAGTCACGAATTTGTTAATTACTAGATTTTTATATGGGCTTATGCAATTTATACGCGAAAAACTATGGAGATAACGAACAGCATTCAACCTCAAAAGTCAGTTCAAACAATACAAATCAGATGCAGAGCAAACATGGACTCTAACACAGCAGAGAAGGGATCAGATGCCAGGGAGGAATGAGCATCCTCGATCAACTGGTCAAACCCACCGCGTTCTCCTAGTCATGATCGGAAATAAAGAGAGTATATAATATAAATATTATGAAAATGGTCAGTATGTTTTAAGTATTGTTGAACTTCGAATTAGATTAAAGAATTAATATTCTGAAAAATAATTTCATTTAGTCAATTATTGAGTTTTTAAGATACTTGGTTTTGCTTACTTGACAAGTTTGTAAAACCTACCACTTGTTAGTCATTCTCTTGTCTGACTTGTTACAGAGGAGGTGGAATGTGGCGGACCCTCGCCTCTCACTGCCGCCTTTCTATTGGCCCTCGGGGGACTGTACGAAGGAGCAGGTAAAGAAAAGATTAAATAAACTGGTTATGTAAATCAGTTTTATATCTCCAAAGATAAAATCTTTGGGTGCAATAGATTTTTTTCAGAACAATTTATGACATTAAGAAAAATTAACTGCAATTCTGACCACGGTCTAAAGACATGTTTCTACCTTAGAAAAAATAAAACAAACTTTCATTACATCTTTATTATCTACCTCTTTACAGCCCATACCAGCAAAGTTGGTGACTTTCTTCTCCATCCCAGAGTGGTACTATTTACAGATGGTCAAATTACAGACTTCACAGATGCATGCGCTACCGACAGTGAGGCGGATCTAACATCTAATGACCGTGTAATCATTATAGTCTCGCAAGTTCGACTTATGAAATATGTATATAGAATGCTATATAAGTTGCAATCAAGAAAAAAATATAAAATGTGAATATAATATCAGAATTAAGTCATTTTATTTCTATTTCACAGATATTAGTACCATTCTTTTCTGTTTTACATCGAATAGGAGAAAATAATCCGATATTCTGTTTCCCAGTTGGAGAGAACCCAAATTACGTAAACCATTCAATGCAATGATATTACACCTGTTTTTTTATTACAATTATATGAATATAGTTTGCACTAAAATCACATTCAAATACTATTTATCAATAGAAATGTGGGTAAATATTTCTTCAGAAAATAATATTAAGTTAATTGTAGAAACTCTGAAATGTCAATGAATAAAAAAAAAAGTTCTGTTTTATTTGTGTAATTAATCACAATTGTATTATTCAAGGCTTTATTACAAACTATATCAAGAGGTTCTAAGGGAGGCAGAGTTTTGGAGATTTGTGAAGCAAAGTGCTTTGGACGATATACCCTCCATTACGTAATTGATGTTGCATCAAATGTCATTTCTTTTAGTTTTGTTCTTTTAAACTAAGAAAAATTATCTATTAACGCTTGTGGGTTTTTTTTTTTTTTACAGATTTCAGCAGATATGATATCCAAAGTAACAAACAAGGATGAAATAGATAGAGGGAATTTGAGATCGGTGGCTGAATCTGTACTGGAATGGCAGACCTATGATGAAGACGATTTGGTATGTTTGGCAATCTAAAAAAATAGCTTCACTTGTCATTAATTAAAAGGTATAATTGCGTAAAATATCTCGATCCGTGTTTTTCCGTAACATTACATGAATTACAAGCAAATTCAAGGAATTGTGGTCCCCCGCTTTCGGTGTCTTTGTGGATGAGATGTCATTTTTTTATGATATATTGTGTCTAAGATGAACACCCTATCATATATCATTTATTAAGAAATTATCATTGAAGTTGATTTTTTTTAAAAATAAGGTCAATCGTGAAGGTAAAGGTCAAGGTGTAAGAAATCATAGCATGCTCAGAATTATCTTATCACAGGTTATGCACATGTCAAATATAAAAGCCCTATCTCTTCTCAATGTAAGGAACAAGATGTGTTTGTATGGCAACATAACGAAGATTAAACTTTTCTTAAATGCAAATTAAATATATTATTACCCAAAGTAGGGTTTTTCTCACAAGAAATACGATTGTGAAATACAAAATTCCTAGCACCACCTGTTCAAAAGTTATAGTCGAGGATAAATTTTTGAAAGGTA